ATCATTTCTTTCATCTTTTCAACAACTGTTTACAAAATGGCAACTTATAATTAACCAATGAACTTATACTGACCCGACCTGCGTTTATTCATCTCTCTGTCATTATTATCGTTACCATGTGTCTAGTTTTAAGTGTATATACTTATGCTATACATCGTACTGATTAAGGAATGACACATCATCGTAACATCTAATATATACAAGTAGCACAACGGTACTTTGATTCTGTAGCACAAAAATCATGTACCATTATAACGAACTCAAATGTACCACTAATTCTACTTCGTATTAACCGTAGTTCGTTATAAGCATATTTACAGCATATATACAACAAATGTCTGGGACTAAAAAATAAGTCGTTATATCGGTCAGTTCGATATAAGCGTGTTCGTTATAAACGTAGTTTACTGTATGTCATCAGATACATGTAATTAATTGTCGTTTCTGTGTTTTGATATGAATATGACACTTTGTGAACAGAAACAAGTGTACTTCGGCAGGTTGGTTTGTTTTAAATGGCTAATTTATATGACCATATACGGTGGGACTTTAATTGTATTCAAAGTGCATAATATTCAATACCTTGTATTCCCTTGCCCTTATTTTTGTTTACGTTCTGTTCCTTTGATCAAGGGGCGGTCGGTTGCCTTCTGATTAAAGCGTTCGGTCGTCACGCCGAAGACCCAGGTTCGATTCCCGACATGGGTACAATGTGTGAAGCCCATTTCTTGTTTCCCCCGCCGTGATATTGCTGGAATATTGCTAAAAGCGGCGTAAAACCATACTCACTTACTCATTCCTTTGATCAATGGCAGTGTTACATCGCCTGTGGGGAAGCATTATTAGCTATAGACATGTTCACAATCAGTTTACATGAGGGGCGGTCGGGTAGCCTAGTGGTTAAAGCGTTCGCTCGTCACGCCGAAGACCCGAGTTCGATTCCCGACACGGGTACAATGTGTGAAGCCCATTTCTGGTGTCCCCCGCCGTGATATTGCTGGAATATTGCTAAAAGCGGCGTAAAACCATACTCACTCACTCACTCACTCAGTTTACATGAACAATGTGGAGGGCCAACATGGATTCGATCCCACAATCATAAGTTTCTAGCACGCCCGACGAAAACGATTCTGTACAGTGAGTTAGTGAGTGACTTTGTTTAACGCCGCTTTAAACAGTATTCCAGTTATATCACGGCGTGTCATGTTAATGTGGAAAGAAATCCCGAAGTGATGAAGGACGTTTACCGCTTTGGCGTGCCCAAGGGACGCAACTCTGCCCAGCGAATTGCGGCGCCTCAGACGTATGAGCCACATGTGCCATGACGTCAGCACCGAACAATACGATCTCTGTGAATAATAACATACTGGTTATATAAATGGTGAAAGCTCATTAGTTCCAGATCCAAAGGGCGAATCGATTTTAGAAGTCGAGTCATCCGTAGTTCGAGACAAACAGTGTGGCGATACTGGACCAAAACGCAAAGAAGCTGGAACAGAGAGTTATTTTAAATTTGTAGTGTTTACTGTAGCCATCAAAGGTAATCAATAGATTATCATGGATAATTCATGTTTATTCAGGAAGAAATCGTCAGTTTAAAAGCCGCATCGGGACGGGACATTTTAGGAATATATTTTTAATAAATGCTAATAAGCCTCCATTGACGTCGTTCCACAGAGTTGGTTTCATGAAATATTAATTCTGCAAACTGTTCAAAAGATATTACAATAAAGAACATGGTTATAGCTTTACTTCCTCTTAAATACCAAACAGTATCTTTGAATATCGTGACAACTATGAATATTTATCGTCATGATGCCAACTCTTGTTTCACAAGACCAAGCGTTGGAGATTACAAATGTCACGGTGCCTCGCTTGAATATCGCCTTCCCGAAAACGTCATCACTGATACAGGAAGTTGGAGCTGGATAGGAATTAACCGGATATTGCGTAGAGGGTGATCAAAGAAGAAACTGTCGGTTCTTGACGGGGAAACATGGGGATAGGGAAACATAGAGATAGAATCAAAACATACCAGCGTATGTTTCTCCTGTAGTTTAGTGTTTCTCATCAAAGGGCTATCTAATTAAACTTTGAGGCAACAGAATTCTACCGAGATGGTTTATTTTTTATGTAATTGAAAAGGGAAAGAACCGTTGTTGAATTTGATTATGTGTTAACTGTAAATCATTTCTGCTACAGTTTGTAAAAAGTAACCTTTGGCTGGTACGTGTGTGAAAACATAAGTTGGTTCAACGAAGACTATGGTAAGAAATTTGCAACAACATGGTCACTACCACGTTTGAAATGTTTTTAACGTGTGCCGAAAAAAAGCAATTTGATTTATTTCAAAGATAAGATTAAAAGATACCCATCAGCAGTTGTGCATTATGCGATTAAAAAAATTAATTAATAACTGGTTATTTTTAATAATCAAATAATTTCTTTGAAAAAATAAAACCATGTAGAAATATTCTAATAGCCAGTACTCACATTTTTTGGATATATTATCGCTTAATATAAAAAAATAATAAAACAAATCAACTGAGAGGTATAGTTTCTTTTATCCCTCAGTATAATTTTACATGGTCGTAGGGTTAGTCGATCGTCACGCCAAAGACACGGGTTCGATTCCCTTAGTGTGTACAATGTGTGAAGCCCATTTTCTGGTGTCCGAAGCTGAGATAATGCTGAAATAGTGCCACTACCGGCATACACTCACTCACTTTCACATAAACATCGATAGAGGTAGTTGGGTGCAATACAACATTATACATATTACTTTCTAAGCCTTAAGGATTGTATGAATATTTAAAATATCTGTTCGTCAACTTTTCACCATTCCGTGTCGCTGTAGCGAAGGTCGCCCATTACATTTCCACAAATCATTCGATGCCGGTTCTTGCCCCACGATCGATACGTTATCGATAAAATCTGAACTCGATCACTTGAGCGTCCAAAATAGTTCCGTCAATTCCTAGACGTACATTGTGGGTTCAAAATAATTTTGGTATGAATAGTTAATAACCAACTTGTGTTCGTGTATACTTATGGGTCGTTTAAACTAAAGAGTGACGTCATGGATGCGATTTAAAATTAGATTCCTGTAGCGATACAGCCATGACGGAAATAACACCATGAATCTGTATAACGTTTTAACTGCCGTTCATTATAAACAATACAAAGTTACAGGTTACTTGTAACTAGTTATCAACAAGTTAGTGAATGTTGTTTGACGCGGCAGTGGGCAATATACCAGTTCCTTCACGACTTCATAAAATTCTGATGGATTCAATGACGTAAGGCTAGCATTTGACGTTTGCAGAGCATCACATGCTTTGAAAGTTTTAAAGGCATTCCCAGTTTCATCTTGGATATTTTCCCTTTTGTATGAACATTCCTGGTATCTGAAGATGATGAATAACTTAAAAATTGGGGTTGCATGTCTTCTGTATTGTGGAATTAAATAAGCAATTGATTTTGGCAACAGTTAATAAGGTCATACTGGCATACGATTTAGAGTTGGTTTTTTACTAACTACAACTACAAAGGCATTAGAACCAACTTGACTTCTACCCTTTCGTGCCATGGAAATTTTAAAGATAATCATCAATTATTTAAAGACGTTGAAAGGTCAGTTGAATAAAAGGTCGTTTGACATGTTAAATATGACTTAGCCATATGTCAATATGTGAGTCAATAAATTTCTCTGCCTGTCGTAAGTGGCCACTCAAATGGGTAGGGGCAGGGGGGCAGGTTCAGTCATTTGTTTCCGAGTCGTCATTCCTCGTCGACTTTTGGCGTTTAACTGTTTAAGGATCCTGCAGCATTCCGGCCCATTTGGCTTATACTGTTACACATACTGTTAGGGCTATATGCATATGAGTTAGGGATCATTAATATTTTGGGGATATTTTTTACTCGTCCTTTGTGCAAAAAATATCGCCCGAGCTATTCATGATCCGTAACTTGTTTTGTCCAGTATACTAGTATATAAGAGCCCGATGGGTATGAACATGAGTTGGTGGGAATATCAAACAATTATCATATTCCGCTGTACGGGCGGACGCTCGTTCCACTAGATCCCGGAAGTGATGACGTTGGCTGCAAAATGCAAATTTCTAATTGACCCTGGACCTCTCTAACGTCCGAGTGCGCCACCATCACATCACACCGACCATTAGAACCCATTAGATCTGATCGCCTACTCCCCAGCAGATATGATCATATCATTTCCATTTGACAATACCAATTAGATCAGAAGATATGTCTTGATGATGCGTACTATCCCTACTTTAATAGAATATATTTAATATGCGAAGACACTCGGGTGCCTTTCTCTATTTACCATTGTGAACAAGCACTGTGACAGGCGAAGTTACTTATGTAGGCGATACTTTGAGGAGGTATGGGTGGCCCAGGTCGCAGTATAGAGTTGCGTGGTAAAGATGTCATTCTCAGCTCCATGAGGAGTATAGAACTCATGAGTGAGTGAGTGAGTTGCATTTAACTTTAACAGTATTCCAGTTATATCACGGAGTGTCAGCTTAATGTGGGAGGAAAGTCCGAAGTGATGCAGGTACCAGAATGACTGGTGTTTACCACTTTGGGGAAACCAGCGAGTGAGTGAGTGAGTGAATTCGGTTTAACGCCGCTTTTAACAGTATTCCAGTTATATCATGGCGTGTCAGCTTAATGTGGGAGGAAAGCCCGAAGTGATGCAGGTCTCAGACGTTTACCGCTTCGGTGAAACCCACGAGCACGGGTATGGTGCTGACATACCTAGAAACATAATCATTGCAAAGCGGGATTCGAACTGGGCGACTATAATGAAATCAGAGTAAAAGCAACACTCATCATCCCCAAACTTAGTTCCACCCAGCCTGGGTTCAATCCCACATGGGTACAAAAGTTCGAGGCTCGTGTATGGTGTCCCCGACGTAATTCTTCAGGAGTCCCCGCGGCGTAAAACTCTAACTCACCCATCATCTTTTTTTCAGATGTGAAATGCGGAACACCAACATTCGAGAACGGGAACGTGAGCGGCTCGGACTACAAGTACGGCGACGGCATCAGCTTCACCTGCAACAACAACTACAAACTCGTGGGGAAGACTCAGCTGACGTGTGGACTCTCCGGCTGGGAGGGCGTCGTGCCCAGATGTGTCTGTGAGGAACTTAATTTACCGTTACGATTGTGAAACGACATCGGTAGGGACGTCACTTGAAGAAAACATAACATTTTAAAAAAATACAAGGTTGTAATTTGGCATACATTTGTAGAAATGTATGTAAAGGTGGTCATGTATTTACATAAATTTATGTTCATTTAGACATACATATATGTAATATTTATTATTAAAAATTATAAATTGTATTTACAACAACTGTTTACCTTTGTACAAGTGTGTTCACGTTTATACGCTTGATGAATTCAGTGTGTGAAATGAAATGGAATGAAACATACACAATTCATTTTAATATTATTTCTAGATGTAAATGACGCTAATCAAACTATTTGACATGATTACGTTAGTACGTACAGGGTGTCTCCGTCCAGATGTCGTTATCGCCTGCAGTGCAGCATAAGGTCATACCTATAACGGTGTCAAGCCGGTTGAGCCACAACCTGTGTGCAATTCACCTACTCTAGCCAGTAATTAATTAATCAGATTACCGATACCTTTAAATGAGTGTCCCACATTTAAATTGAGTAAACTCACCTCAATTAGCTTAGACATTTATTTGACAAACCCCCCCCCCCCCCCCCCCCACCCCCCCACCCCCACCCCAACCCCCCACCCATAATCCACCGCCACCCACCGCATTTTATCCCGAAAGTTTGACCGCAGACTTGATCAAGGTAATTATGCAAACGTCATCATCACGTTTTGGAAAAATAAATTCGCTGTACTTTATATTCCACGTGGGTTGTTTTTCATGTTGGCATTATGATACTGCGAAATATCGCGCAGTGCAAGTTACATTACTGCGTCAGTTGAGAGGACATACATAATGAATGTATGTAAAACTGTATGAGCCATGAATGCCATGTCTCAAATTTGCTTCCTGTTACAGCTACAGGACCGTGCAAAAATAACCCCTGCCCAAAGGGCCAGACTTGTGTGGAGGATGACCTGGGGTATCATTGTCAGTGTCCAGAAGGATTGTCGGGAATCAATTGCCAGATAGGTATTACTCTATTTGGGTCCACATTTAAAAGGAACAGATCATTTAATATCAAATATGGTGTAATTTAACACTATTGGCTGTAGAGTGTGGCGTATCTGTTTGGGGTATTTTTTATTTTGTGTGATATATTTTTCAGCCACTGCTTCAAAACATGCAAAACAGTTCTTTGAGAGAAGAAGGCAAAGAATTGAATTTTTGCCTGCATATTATCTTTTTTTCGTGAAGATGTCACGCTGTACAACATTGGAGTCGTAATGCGAATGTCATATTTGACGTAGTACAAACAGGCATTCCGACGTGATATGTATTGACGTCACAAAAGATGTGTTGTTTCTTCACATCATTTTGTAATGGATGTGTATAAAACATAAAATGAATGGGCGTGTGTGCTGTAAACTGATTGGTTGGAAAACGTTGATGAATGGGATTGGATCAAGGAAATATTTCATACTTTTTATTGAGCATGAATACATTTCTTAAAGGCATATTTTTCTCAATATAATTTATGAACGTACGGGACATTATCGATGCCGTTGTTTTCAAATTACATTTACAGGCGTATAATACTCAACCTTCACACGAATTTCAAAACACATTATGTTCATCTCGTAAATCAATCAACGTTACTACTTCACTGCTGCTAGTTATTATGTGGTCATCATAAAAAAAGTTTTTTTACTCAAAACTTTCTCTCAGAATTTTTTGGAAATAGGACACACACAAAAACCTCTTTGTGGCATTTTGCAAAAAAAAAGCCTCTTACGGTGATTTGAAGAGAGGCTCAGTACCATCCTCTGTTTATTTAAAGACGTTCTCTTATAGTATCCTAAAAATGTAATCACCGACCTAATGAAAAACACATTTTGTCAGCGAAATTCGAATTTATGTCATGCATTGCGTCTCAAAATCGATCTAAAATGCTAAAACGGTTATTAACGGGGTTTCATTTCAGTGAGTGAGTGAGTGAGTGAGTGAGTGAGTGTGGTTTTACGCCGCTTTTAGCAATATTCCAGCAATATCACGGCGGGGGATACCAGAAATGGGCTTCACACATTTTACCCATGTCAGGAATCTAACCCGGGTCTTCGGCGTGACGAGCGGACGCTTTAACCACTGGGCTACCCGACCGCCCCGGGTTTCGTTTCAAATAATGGTTCCACTTTATAATAGTTATTACTGCAGTTTTGCTCAACCATGTTTACTTACGTATAGTGAACTGTCGCTAGCTGAACTCTGAGAAACCCGCTGTACTCGCGATAATATTACATTCATCAATGTTACCTTATCGGGACATTTTCATTTGAACGCATTCCCGGGTAAGAATTTACAATGACTTAAGGCAACATACATTTCTACCTTCAGACAATTCACCCCCTGAAGTTGTGAACTGTTCCTCTGACGTCACTCTCAACATCACTTCTCGGAAGAAGTTTTACACCTGGGTCGTGCCCACCTTCACAGACCCCCAGGGGACGCAGGTTGACGTCACCTCCAACTACCCCGGCAACAAGTTTGACTTCCCGTGGGGTGACTTCGGTGTGCAGTACGTGGGAACAAAGAGGGTCAACGGACTCAAGGCCAAATGCGAGTTCAATGTCACGGTCAGACGTACGTATGATGCTTTCCGCTTCAACTCTGAAACAAGACAATAAGAGGAAACATCTCAATCCTCTTTTGACAGATATATAGAGTTCGAGGTCAAGGTCATCTTCCCGAGGCAAGGGAGTTAACTGACTATAAAAGTCCAGTTTCAACCCTTGCCGAACTAGGCTGGTATAATGGAGTTACATTTTGGCTGGACTAACAAGTCTATGAATAGTCCAATCAAAATAGTGCAACGAAATCGAAATCCGGTAGGTAAACTGTCGTGTAGATTTCGGTCGATTGCAGGATTTACAAAGCATGTACACCGCCAACTCGTTGTCAACAGATATTTTCCAAATCTTTTCATGTTTTAAATCAAGGTGCTCACCCATTTTTTGATGCACTTCGCGATGTAAGACCCGTTTTATCACACTATAGAACTTGATTATCGATCAGATCGTCTTAACTGGGCGCCGCCATTTTGTTTGATACAAATGCAAGTGGTGCGAGAGGTGGAATCTGATTGGTCCATAGGAGAGGCTCAGAAGGTCCATGACTCGTAATAACCACTGGTGGCGCTACGATCGAGCCCAGGAATTACAGCCTAGTTCGGCAAGGGTGGAAAATCGACTTTTAAAGTCAGTTAACTCCCTTGCTTCGGTAAGATGGGTCAAGGTCTGATGTACATATACTGCTAATAGTCTCCCTTGGCCCGCCTCCGTGATATAGCGGTAGAGCGTCCGCCCGGCTCGATCCCCGGCCGCGTCATGCTGAAAGACTTTAAAATATGTTTGTAGCCTGTCGGGCGCTCGGCATTAAGGGGCTGAAAAAGGACTAGTCGGCTCGGTGTCAGTATACTGTGTCTGAGTGGGGTATTCATGTTAAACTGCGGCATGGTATTTCAGGGAGCTAGCACTATATATCGGCATCAGTCCGGCCTGGTACAAGCAGCCACACACACATATACGTGTATGCACGTCGCTATATAAGTGCAGTAATCTTGGAAGCGACGTTAAACCCCATTTCACCGCACCTCACCTTATAGGCTTTCTTAGTGAATTAAAAAAGAATACTTGTGAAACAAGTGGACACTATGGGCACCTTGATTTGATGTAGGATGTCCTTAAGTCATTCGCCACAAATACTAAAGGTGTAGTCTCAAATCTCAAATCGGCTGCTTCAATCAGAGGTGTTTATGAAGATTTGATACCTCTGATTGACCAGTCCGAATCGATAGTTTCCAAATTCTGATCCATATTGTGCGCATAAAAAAACACTCAACACCAACATCACAACCACTGTAACTAAGCAACAGACGGTTCTGACAAACATATATATTAATGTATGATTTTAAATTATAATTTATCTAACTTTTGCAGGTTAACGTGTGATAACAAAATGCCACAACATACGCCAAAAAAAACACCATCCCCACAACCAACTTTCCTAAAAAATCTATCCGTGTTTCTTTCATACTTAAACGATCTCTATTTTATGTTTGGTTTAATTGTTGTTTAACGTCGCACTCGGCAATATTCCAGCAACAAAGCGACGGCCTGTATAATACCATGAATGGAATGTCAAAGCCCAACAGATTAAACCAATTCAACACACTGTTCAAGGATACATGAAATAAAATATTAATCCCAAAATGTATGATTTGTATTTTCAGCTGTTATAATCTGATCTTTGTCATTCTAGCAATGAGCTGCCCAGGGTTGTCTCCCCCTCAAAACGGCTACCTCATGTGCAACAGTTGGCGCAAGGAGTTTGGTCGGTTCTGTCTGGTGGGCTGCAACAGAGGCTTCACCCTACCGGACAGTTTTGACGGGCGGGAGTGGATCGTGTGTGGCAGCAGTGGACACTGGACCCCCGGCCAACTGCCCCACATGTGCGAGGGTATGTCCGTTACTACCACCTGAGTTTTTGTTGCACCAGACAATCCAGTGATTGATATTGTGAGCATCGTTACTCGCCGAGGTGCGTTGACAACCAAGTCACCTAGCCTGACCACCCTGTAGATTAAATGGCCTCTTACGACCAGCGTAGGTTGCTAAGGTCCAATTCTAACCGGAAATCCCAACTGCTTCTCAATTTAGGCTCAACTAATATATATCGACTAGGAGTGTCCAGTTGTCTGTACATATACACGGTGCGAATGACCAGAAATACGGACTAACGGATCAAACCACATGAAATTTTTCTTGTTTCTCAACACCAACTGACCCTAAAAGTCGACCCATCCTAATTTATTTCATATTTGGCATCGTCCAGTCGGTGCGAATGACCAGAAATACGGACTTATCGATTAAACCACATGAAGCATTTCTTGTTTCTCAACACTGACCGAACCTACAAATCGTCCCTATCCCAATTTCTTTCATATTTGGCATGCTATCTTTTGTTTCCGTTCCACAGTTATTTTCAACAACGAATTCACTCTTTTTGATCTAATCTGTGCTGATGCAATTCTTTCAGATTTTGTAACTTAGGCCACATGGAACTCTTCTTCTCGTATACTTCTTTAAATTATTGTTTTGGTTTGGTACAAGTGTGAAATTATGTTGGAGTGATTCGCGAAACGAAATAAAGAATATTTTTAATATTTGCTTAACCATTGTTATCAAAGGGGTTGATAAACAACATTTCTTATATTATTGGTCCTTTCCTTTGGTGTAAACATTCGCGAGGAACAGTTACTCAGTATTTTTAAAAAGAAATGTATTGGGGCACATGGTCCAATCGTTTAAGGCGCCGCAATTCGCTGTGCAGAGTTGCATCCCTTGGACACGGTTTGCAATGATTATGTTTCTAGGTTTGTCAGCACCATACCCGTGCTCGTGGTTTCACCAAAGTGGTAAACGTCTGAGACCTGCATCACTTCGGGATTTCCTCCCACATTAAGCTGACACGCCGTGATATAACTGGAATAATGTTAAAAGCAGCGTTAAGCCCAACTTCCACTGATCAAATAGATAAGATTGACAAATTTTTATTGAATGGGTGTATGCAATGATGTATTATCATGTGAGACTTGGGAAGTGGTTACCTCGTTCGCATTGCGCAATAAACTCGGGTTCGATTCCCTATAATCAGTAGGATATGTACAACCCATTCCGGGAATCCACGCCAAAATATCATTTGAAAATTGTTTGAATATTACTTAAACCGACATAATACATGTCTCGCTGACACATGTGATTTTGTTCTTCAGAGGAGATGACCAGTCGCCCAAATCCCGACGTTCTCCCTGCTGTCGCCGATTGTCAGGACCAAACCGACATGGCTGCCGCCAAGAAAGTGTATATCACCAAATTCAAGGCATCTGCATTCAAGTCTTTCTGTTCCAAATCCCCGAAGACATGCAATGAGTTCCACGTCGCCGCTACGTGTTAGATGTCCTTGGCTACCGAGGACTTATCTGTAGATCAGCTGCTCACAGAGACGGAGAACGTCCATGCAGTATATGAAGCATTAGCTATCCTTGCACAATATAGAGAAACCTCGTTAGTCCGGACACCGTTAATCCGGAACACCGCAGTCTGGACAACTATTGTTGGGTTGGTTGTTTGGTTGTTGATTAACGCCGCATTCAGCAATATTCCAGCTATGTAACGGCGTTCAGTAAATAATCGACTACCTGGACCAGACAATACAGAGATTGATACCATGAGCATCGATCCACGCAATTTGGATACAATGACATGTATCAACCAAATCAGCGAGACTGACCACCCGATTCCGTTAGTTGACTCTTGAGACAACCATAGGGCCTATTGTAACCCAGATCTACACGGGTCGATTATTGTTGGGAACGTCTGTATATGCTTCTGGGGGCTTTACTGTTAAGGTTCATTGATCCCAAATTTTCGTAATCCGGAAGATTTTCATTCGAACGGTACAGTCAGGATTAGCGGGGTTTCACTGTATAGATGAAGATAATATATAGTGCATGAGAGAGCTGCAGGATTTGAAGTATAAATATATATTGGTTATGATACAAATGTTATATAATTTTAGAAGTTACTTCAAAAGTAAACATGACACAAATGCAAAAATACCTTCTTCAGAAGTAAATATATTTCAAATGCAGAATAGCTTCAGGATTTCTTTCAGAAGGAAATATGTTCCAAATTCAAAATAATTCTAGGACATTCTTCAGAAGGAACTACATTTCAAATGCAGAATAGTTCCAAGATTTCTCTCAGAAGGAAATATGCTCCAAATTCAATATAAATCTAGGACATTCTTCAGAAGGTAATTTGTCTCAAATTCAATATAATTCTAGGACTTTCTTCAGAAGGTAATTTGTTTCAAATTAAATATTATTCTATGACATTTTTTCTGCAGGAAATATATTTCAAATGCAGAATAGTTCCAGGATTTCCTTCAGAAGGAAATATGTTCCAAATTCAAAATAAAGCAAGGACATTCTTCAGAAGGAAATTTGTTTCACATGCAGAATAGTTCCAAGATTTCCCTCAGAAGGAAATGTGTCCCAAATTCAAAACAATCTTGAACACTCTTCAGAAGGTATTATGTTCCAAATGCTATATTATCTACTTAAGACGTATGCATGTTCCAAATGCAATATAGTACAGGATTTTCTTCAGAAATTAATGTCTTATAAATGTAACACAACTCCAGATGTTTCTTCAGAAGTAAAAATATACTCACCCCCAAAAAATGATTTAAAAAGGCAGTCATCAAAAGAAATTTGTATTAATATATTTCATTTGTCTCCGTTAAATCGGTTCGAATGCTTATGAAATAAAAAGAAATACAATAAATAAGTGACACGCGGAATAACGTTTCAATTGTATTGCCCGGTGCTGCAGGGGTTTGGTATAATGAGGGTGGCAGTTCAGAAGTATTTTTACTGCAAGAGAGGACTGAGCGAGTGACATAATGATTGTACGCCGATTTCAGCAATGTTCCGGCAATAACAAAGCGGGATACACCAGTTATAGGCTTTACAGATTGTACCAGGTAGACGGTACATATAGACGTACTGGTTGCGCTAAGTGAGGAATCGAAAATGGGCCTTCGGCGTGACAGGTGAACGCTTTAACCGGTAGGCTACCCTACCGCCCTTCCTGTACAAGAACATCAATGAATGCAAACTGGTGAGAGCTATGACCCGATGCATGACCCAGTCGTATGACCCATGGCAGATGAGTACGGAAGCGTAGTGGGGCCAAGGTGAAATGTCTTTTTGTCTAAGTATCTCCTACGTAGGACTTATTACCTCCTACTTATGGCTTAGTATCTCCTACGTAGGACTTAGTTTCTCTTACGTAGGAATAAGTATCTCCTACATAGGACTTCCTATCTCCTACGTAGGAGATATTAAGTCCCACGTAGGAGGTACTAAGTCATGCGTAGTAGATATTAAGTCCTACGTAGGAGATAGTAATTCTAGGCCACACTAAGTCCAACGTTGGAGATATTAAGTCCTACGTAGGAGATAGTAAGTCCAACGTTTGAGATATTAAGTCTTACGTAGGAGATACTAAGTCCTACGTAGGAGATAGTAAGTCCTACGTAGGAGATAGTAATTCTATGCCATACTAAGTCCTACGTAAGAGATAGTAAGTCATGCGTAGTAGATACTAAGTCCAACGTTGGAGATATTAAGTCCTACGTAAAGGATAGTGAGTCCTACGTAGGAGATACTAAGTCCTACGTAGGAGATACTAAGTCCTACGTAGGAGATATTAAGTCCTTCGTAGGAGATACTAAGTCCTACGTAGGAGATAGTAATTCTAGGCCATACCAAGTCCTACGTTCGAGATATTAAGTCTTGCGTAGGAGATACTAGGTAGGTGATGGCATAAATTAACAAAATATTAACAATGTAATGAAAACAGAAGTGTAGACACAATGAAATGTATGCCGACAATATTAAGGACTTTGTGAGGAGATTAAAAGGAAATAAATTTTCTATGGAGCACTATCCTGTTGTTTAAGTTATATGTGAATGAAGAGTGAAGGTTGTTTTACGCCGCCGCGGAAAATAATACATCGATATCACATACTCAAGTAAGTATCATGGAATAGGGAAACGAGTGGTTGATAGCAAGAACATCAATCAGGCCACAATGACACACGATCAGACATGTCACCTCTTTATTTCCTATTTTTATCTGCTCTATTTGCTGAATGCCTTAATCAAGTACCTTACAGGCAGAATGGGATATACAGCCAAACCTCGTTTGTACGGACTCCGACACCGACGGCGATCGTAGCTCACAATATCGATCGTTAAACAACAAACAAACATACAAAACCAATTGCTCAACATGCATACATCCATACATCTGTATAGTGGTGATAAGTTAAATGTAACATACATTTTATGCTTGTTGTTTAATGCCTGTTTATAACCGAGTCTCGACCAGACAAACCAGTGATTAATATTATCCACAACGTCCGGCGCTGTCGGGTCATGATGACATGCAAACAATTAAGTCACCATGCCTGACCACCCAATCCACAGCTATAGCTTACTAGCGTATGAGGGCGGTCGGGTAGCCTAGTGGTTAAAGCGTTCGCTCGTCACGCCGAAGACCCGGGTTCGATTCCCGACATGGGTACAATACGTGAAGCCCATTTCTGGTGTCCCCCGCCGTGATATTGCTGGAATATTGCTGAAAGCGGCGTAAAACTATACTCACTCACTCACTCACGTATGAAGGAATCAGACTGGATATGCTGGTCAATAAGATATATTTTTGAAACGATACCAAAACACGCTGGTATGTTTTTTCATAGGGATTTTAGTTATACATACTGTGATGAATATGCATCAAGGAAAACTAATATCTCGAAAGCCGGAATTTCAGCCATCATGAAACATTTATGGGAAAAGCGATGAAATTTGGATGATTGTGCTGTCTCATGTTTAAACAACGAGCCGAGTGTTTCACGTCGAGTTCACGTGGCCCGGACTAAGTCGGTTTTATGGAGCTAGCCCACTGAGATACCATGCTACAGTTGAACATGCATACCCCAGTTTTGTCCCCTTAATGCTTAGAACCAGGCAAGGTAACCAAGTAGTACCATTTTGTATGCATTTGGGTGCGAGGCGACCGGGTATCGAACCACCGACCTCGGGCTATATCCCCTGGGTCACGGAGGCATGAAATTAATTTTAAAAAGTCTGGATATTATCTGCACCTTTCCTAAAATACTGGACCTCGTCTAAAAAGAATTCTCATTAACGTTGGGTCAAATCTTTACATAGCTAGTTAGCCTGTATGCTTGTTGGTTTCCGGACCTTTAGATACATTCTTTTTATATTTTTGATGTTTTTTTCACGCCGCACTCTGCAATATTCAAAGCTGACACGGTTAACATAAGACATTGGGACATGCTCTGTGTTCTACAAAACAAAAGGTTTTCCGCCCCCCACCCAACCAAGCCATTAGTTGGTTGAGCAGAGTTTCACTCACTCACTCACTCACTCACTCACTCACTCACTCACTCACTCAGTCTATTCGTGTACACTTGTCTCATGGGCGAGTTCAACCAATATGATAATTAAAAAAGGAGGTGAGGTGAATGGGGTTTAATATTTCGTCCAAGATTATTGCACTTATATAGCGACCTGCATGCACGTGTGTGTGTGTCTGTGTCTGTGTGTGTGTGTGTGTCCTTGTGTGTGTCTGTGTCTACGTCTGTCCGGACTGGTGCCGATTTACAGTGCCAGCCCACTGAGATACCATACCGCAGTTAAACATGAATACCCCACTCAGAGACAGTATACTGACTCCGAGCTGACCAGTCCTTGTTTTAGCCCCTTAATGCCGAGCGCCAGGCAGGGTAACAACAAGTACCATCTTTTAACGTCTTTTGGTATTACGCGACCGGGGATCAATCCCCGGACCTTCCGTTCTCCAGGCGGACGCTCTACCACTAGAAAACAGAGGCAGTCTAAAGAAGTAAAATCGTCATTCTGAGATTCCCACAGACACATTTTACATGCATATGCACAGCTGATATGTATATACAATGACACCTATTAAACCGGACGGTACCATACCCAATGAACTCGTACAGTTTAACAAATTTCAAGATTACCGAACCATGTTTGCGCAGTAATATCCCAAAGTGATAAATAGATTTTACGACGCGTGTTGCCCAGATTGCGTGATTTCCGGATTAGCGGGGTCAGGATTTCGGGATTAACTACACGGGGTTTGTACAAAAAACCTTAGTGCTACGACGGGCGTATGTCCATGTTTAAGTATGGGAGTTAAGGCTGAGATCGCTTTGTACAACGGCACCCTGGTGAACAATGACAGACTATCAATGTACGTCTTCACGAATTAAGTCGACGCAGAGAGATGGAGAGGACACGTATAGATGTAGCCTACCCGCATCACAGCCAAGTTCAATCGATATATTCGCAAGGAAGAGACATTGCCAGCGCTCTTGAAGGGGTGCAACTCTTTAACTCTTATGAGTGACCCTTATGAGTGTTAATACAATGGAATGACATCAAAGCAGCATTCTGACATGGAATAAAATAAAGGACTTTCCCTTTCGCACCAATGGTCATCCTTTGTCAACCCTGTTTGTGTGGATTTTTTGTTAACTTCTTTATGTGTAGTTCTTAGATATCATATAACCATGTTCCACTCAGCTGTTGATCACGTGTTGGTCAAGACTCAATTGTTTACTGATCACGTGTTGGTCAAGACTCAATTGTTTACTGACCACGTGTTGGTCAAGACTCAATTGTTTACTGATTACGTGTTGGTCAAGACTCAATTGTTTACTGATTACGTGTTGGTCAAGACTCAATTGTTTACTGATTACGTGTTGGTCAAGACTCAATTGTTTACTGATTACGTGTTGGTCAAGACTCAATTGTTTACTGATCACGTGTTGGTCAAGACTCAATTGTTTACTGATCACGTGTTGATCAAGACTCAATTGTTCACTGATCACGTGTTGGTCAAGACTCAATTGTTTAGTGATCACGTGTTGGTCAAGACTCAATTGTTTACTGATCACGTGTTGGTCAAGACTCAATTGTTTACTGATCACGTGTTGGTCAAGACTCAATTGTTTTCTGATCACGTGTTGGTCAAGACTCAAATGAATTGTTTTCTGATCACGTGTTGGTCAAGACTCAATTGTTTAGTGATCACGTGTTGGTCAAGATTCAATTGTTTACTGATCACGTGTTGATCAAGATTCAATTGTTTACTGATCACGTGTTGATCAAGACTCAATTGTTTACTGATCACGTGTTGATCAAGATTCAATTGTTTACTGATCGCGCGTTGGTCAAGACTCAATTGTTTACAGGGTGTCGTCGTATGGCAGATGTACTGTTGTGCACCGTCAGGCAGCTAATACAGACTTTTATGCAAATTGTGTGAGTGGCGGGTGCTACCGGTAGAGCAGGCATGCTTACCCTTTTCGCGAACACCTGGAGTCACCGCTTATTTCAAGGGATCCATCCATATAATTTTCACCGCTTTTTTTTCCTTTTATGCTCAACGGAATCTGTTTCGGCGGACAATCGAGACTAGTTTTGCTCTAGTGTTGACTTTATATATTTCCTGAATCGTGTCGACACCAGAAAATTCAATTCAATAAATACTTCATTACCTTCATCAAAAGGACAAGATCAGGTTTATTGGCAGGAATTCCTCCGAGGCTGTATATGGACCTATTCATTACGATTTTAAGAGCATCATTTTCCGTGATTCCCTGGGCAATGTCTTATCATTGATCAGGGTAAAAGACGCACTCTTCACGAAGGCCATAAAACATCGAGCCTTGCCATCATGTCGTTTAAGATACGAAGAAAGGGCATCCACGGACAAAGTGTTGAACAGACTCATTGAATTCATTACACAATCTACATTCAATATTGACATTTACATTATGAAGAATAACATCTTGGTCGATAACGAGTGTGTGTGTGTGTGTGTGTGTGTGGGGGGGGGGGGGGGGGGGGGGGTTGCTCCTGGACATCAGCAGCCCTCTGTCTCACGTTTGGACCGCCTCCGTAGTCTAGTGGTAGAGCGTCCGCCCGAAGAGCGGAAGGTCCGGGGTTCGATCGCCGACGGGTCATACCAAAAGACGTCAAAAGATGTTACTTGTTGTAACCGTCTGGCACTCGGCATTAAGGGGCTAAAACAAGGACTGGTCGGCTCGGAGTCAGTATACTGTGTCTGAGTGGGGTAGCACTATAAATCGGCATCAGTCCGGACTAGTACAAGCAGTCACACACACGTACATGCACGTCGCTATATAAGTGCAATAATCTTAGACGCGACGTTAAACCCCATTTCACCTCACCTCACCTGTCTCACGTTTGAAACTAGCCGACTTCATCGAGGCAAGGCGTCAGAAAGACTGCTGTTCTGTTCCACACGCTGCATATGAAGACGATGAACGGTTTCCCAGGAAGCTTCTCAAAGAACCGACTCTGAGCAGTTTGGGGAAAGGACTTCTCCTGGTTGACACCCATCCCAGTACCGTCCAGCAAAACATCTTCTGTACAACATTGGCACGTTTTACATGTGTAGAGCTGTGGAAGATCTTGCTTCCATCCTGAATCTGGACATGTTGAGGATCCTCCGATACATAAATGTGTGTAAAGTACACACTACCACTATTATGAAGAGCTTCCACATTAACCAAACCCTGACCTCAAGAATAGATTGGCATCCATAAACGACCGAGTGAGTAACGAGGGTTGTGAGGTCCATTATAAGACATGATCCTTCTTGTGAGGCCGTCAAGACTCAACCACCCCAAAGGAATAATGAAAGGATAGGTACAGCAAAAGTATTTGTGGCTTTTAATTATAATAATAATAATAATAATAATAATAATAATAATAATAATTGCATGAACGGTCATAAGTCTAGATATGGGGTTACAAATATTCAATTTAAAAAAAATCAATTTTA